CTCTCTAGGGTTGAAGTGTTCCCATGCCTGCAGCAGTGTCACATCAGCTGCAAGAGCCAGGAAGTTTGGCAGAGTAGTTTTGCAGGCCTGGCTGGGTCTACAGCATACACCCAGACAACCCATTGATGTATTCCCAATGGCAGGAGAGTGGCAGTTGTCTGGTGCCAAGTGTCAGAGCTGACCCTGAAGGGCCCTGGAATCTGTGCTTGGAACCATTTGCATGTGCAGTAACACACAGGGAATCTGAGCAGGTGGTACTGGGAGTTTTGAAGATGAGATGTCTTTTAATAACTTTGTGATTCTTGTAGTTCAACGAACCCTAGTTCAGGTAAGGCACAAGGCTTCACTTCTAGGCTCTTTCAGAGGAAGGAATTTCCTGGGAATGTGGGCCCTCAGTCACAGCTGACAGAACTGGCTCTTACCTGCATCCCTTTGCTGTGCTCTGCAGACTGTGTATGCCAAGGACTGCCCTCTTGCAGAAGCCAAAGCTATCCAAGGACTTCGGGCAGTTTTTGACGAGACTTACCCCGATCCTGTCCGTGTGGTGTCCATTGGCATCCCTGTGGAGGAGCTGCTGGCTGACCCCTCTGGCCCTGGGGGCTCCATCACCTCTATTGAGTTCTGTGGAGGGACGTGAGTGCCTAGAGAGGCTGGGGAAGGTGGCAGGGTGGCTGAAAGGAGTTCCTGTGGAGCTTGAGCTCCTGGGAGTGTCATGAGCATTCACTGGGCAGAGCCAGGGCAGAGATGGAGGTGGTAGTGATGATGTCTTTGCATTCCCAGTCCTGAGTCAATCAGTCTTTAAAATTACCTTTTGCAGGCAGGAAACTGCCTGTATTGCCCATGACCTCACACAGGGTCTCTGGCAGTGCTGGGAACACAGGTCTTACCACCCTTTCCTCACTCATTTGCTTTCAGCACTGGTTGTTTTTTCTGTATGTCCCCACACTGCTGCATTTCCTTGGCATGATGGTTGTATTTTTTCTTTGCTGATTCTTGCTGAGATGAGAAGTGGACTTCTAACTCTTTCTTGTGGGTCTGTCTGGGTTCTTTCCAAAGGCACTTGCAGAACTCCAGCCATGCTGGCTCCTTTGTGATTGTTTCAGAAGAAGCAATTGCTAAAGGCATTCGGAGGATAGTTGCAGTCACCGGGGCTGAAGCTCGGAAGGTAAGGGTAGGCAGGAGAGATCCTCTGTGAAATTCCACCTATTAACCCTGTGCCAAAGTTCATTTTGTTCAAATTTGCACAATATCCTCTGAGGTACTCATGGAAAAGGGTGCTGCTGTTGCCAAAGACTGTTCTGGAGACACTGGCTGTACTACAGTTGGAGCAGGGAAGAGAGAAGGAAGTCTCAGCTGTAGGTGTTGTGGCAGAGAAACCTGGGTGGGTGTGTGGGATGGCTCCAGGGTTAGCTCAGGTTGCTTTCCAGAGTGGCTGCTGGTGTAGAGCTCTCAGCAGCTGGCAGGGCCAGCAGGAGAGTGGTGAAGTCTGAGAATCCAGTTCTGTGCTGCAGGAGGCAATGACTTTGGATGTGGCCTGGTGCTCCCTAAAGTGGGAGAAAGGGGTTTCATGGGGAAGACTATTTCTCTTTGGGGGGGGATCTTGGCAATCCTGGCAAAGGAAAGAGACCTGGGGCCCATGTGCCACCATCACACCCTGGTTCTGGTCAGATGCTGCCTGCTTTGGCCCAGTGGCTTTTCGAGAGTTACTAAGCTCCATCCTGGGGCATTCCAGCATTCTTCACCTCTTCACACTGGAGTGACCAAAACCCCAGCCTGCTCAATCTTCCAGCTTGATTTAACTCAGATTGTATTCTCCTAGGCCCTCAGGAAAGTCGACAGCCTCAGGAAGTTGCTGTCAGCCCTGGAGGCCAAGGTGAAGGTCCAGACTGCTCCCAACAAAGATGTGCAGAAGGAGATCACAGATCTTGGTGAGGTGAGGATGGTAGCAGTACTCTGCCTCCCCAAAGTGAAAGGGACCTTGATTGCCAGAACTGGGTATTAATGAGGCCTGAGTTCACCTTCTGCTCCTGTCCAACAGCCCTGCATCCCATGGGTGCTGCAGCCAGCACCTCTTTCCTCGGGTCACTGGCACTGGGAGAGGAGTGGAGCTTACTGGGCTCTGCCAGCTGAGGCAGAGTTTATGAGGTGCTTCATCTCCTGCCATGATTGCTGGCACCTTTAACCTTCTCTACCTGTTCCTGTTTTGCAGGCTCTGGCCACTGCTATTATCCCACAGTGGCAGAAAGATGAACTGAGGGAGGCTGTTAAAGCACTGAAGAAGGTCATGGATGACCTGGACCGAGCAAGCAAAGCCGACATCCAGAAAAGAGTGAGCTGTGGGCTGGAATAAAGGACAGGGTGGGAGGCCTGTTGGGGGCTCCTTTGGGAGCTCTGATAGTGTTCAGGATGGAAGAGAATTGATGTATGGGCATGCCCCTCAAACTGTTCAGCCTTTCAGCTTCTCCTGCTGCCTCCTGAAGCAGAATTACCTCTGTGCCCATCCCCTGGGTTGAAGCATAGCAGCCTGTTCCTGCTCTAACAGTGGCCCTGGGTGCAGGTTTCTTCCTGGATCCCATTGGAGTTTTCTGGAGGAGGAATCATGCTCGACATGCTGTCTTGCAGGCCACATACCTGCCTGTCAGAGTACATTCCTCCTGGCTTTATAGTGTGAGGCTGCTCCAGGCTGGGCTTTTGGGTGTGTTTGGGCAGCCTGGGGACTTCTGTCCCTGCTCCACCCAGGTGGTTCTATACACAGTGTGGATGATTTAGTGGCTGACCACTGTTGTCCTCAGGTACTGGAGAAGACCAAGCAAGTCATTGAGAGTCACCCTAACCAGCCATGGGTCATCATGGAAATGGAAAATGGAGCCTCAGCAAAGGTATGGGAAAGTCTGATCTGTCCTCAGCAACTTTCCTTCAGCCTGAGGAGCAGCTAAGTGGTCTGTCATCACTTGAGGATGTGGTTCAGTTCTACAGAGCTGTCCCTCTTGCCACCTGCCATTCCTGAGACCTGGGATTTTCTCTTGTGTCCCACCTCCTGGACTGGCACATGGACTTGCTGGGGTGGTGAGGTTTTAACCACTTGCTGAGTTTCCAGACCTGGTGGTAGATAGGGAGCCCAGCAGAAATCTTATTATGTCCCAGCTAAGACTCATCCTGCAGCAGTCATGGCACTGAAATGCACTTAAGGGACTGAGAGCAGCAGCTCTGCTAAGCCATGGAAGTTGTGATGCTTGTGGCCCCCGCAGATCAGCTCCAGGCGTGGTGTCCTGGGCTGAGTGTGGACAGGGCCACGCAGAGAGCTGCCCCAGCACTGTCTGCTCAGCTGAGTTAAAGTTCTTCCCTGGCCAGGGCTGAATCTGCTCCTTCCCTCCTCCACACACAAGTATTTTCCCAAGTGATTTCTGTTGGAATGAATGCTCTGCTGTGTGTGTTGTGCCACAGTGCTGAGCCCAGTAGGTGCTAGGCAGTGGGAGCTGGTTGTGCCTGGGCTTAGACCACTCTGGGCTTAATGCTCTTTTAAAATTTCCTTTCTGAGAGTCTTGGAGCTGATCCTGCTCGCTCTCTGTGGCCACCAGCATCAGCATGATACCCATGCTTCTGCTCCCAGTGGGTGCTGTTGCAGCATTTTCCCTGGCAGAAGGGTGCATCCCATGGGATGGCAGTGCTGCAGCCCAGGGAGCTGCATGTTCCCAATCCACACAGAGCAGCACTGCTTTGCTCACCATAGGACCCATTCCTGTGGCTCTGTGCTGCATCGTGCTGTCTGTGTGAGTGAGGGATGATGGTCTCCTTGAGAATAATAGAATGTGTGGCAGTCTCCCTGATTCTTCCCTGCCTGCTGTGTCTGATAACCCTTGCAGGCTCTTCACACTGCGTGAAGAAGTACTCTTGACTCCCTTTGGAACAGCTGTTCCCTTCTGCTGGGAAGAGCTTTTTTCCCTCCAGCCAGTACACTCAGGCAAAGATTTATTCTGGAGCTCATTTTGCTAATTGCTGTATGTCTCAAGATGGGGAAATAAAAGCATTTTCTCCTTCCTGCCTTGGGGTACACAGGCAGGGTTTATGTCCCCTGCCAAGGCTTTGACGTTGCCAGGAATATGAAAATGGCTGATGTTTGGGAGGACGAGCATTGCAGAGTGCTGCTAGCTGGTTTAATGCAATTCCTAATCCCTGAAGTCTCTGTGGGTGCTGTTGGGGCTGGAGCTGGGCTGGGTGCAAGCACAGAGAGGCAGTCATATAATGATTTTGTTCTCCTCCAGGCCCTGAATGAATCTCTGAAACTCTTCAAGACTAATTCCCCCCAGACTGCTGCTATGCTCTTTGCTGTGGATAATGAAGCTGGCAGGATCACCTGCCTGTGTCAAGTACCCCAGGTAATGCCAAGACTGTGTGCCTGCCTCTCTCTGAGCCTCTGTGGAGGAGCTGCAGCCTCCAGGCAGGAACGTTACGCTGCCCGATTTGATTGGGGTTTGGCAAGACCCTGAGCCTTTTCAGGCTGCTGAAGTGAGGGAAGAGAGGTTATGCTCTGCAAACAGGGAAGGGGAAGAGTCAGGACTTAATGGGGTGGTAGGCATGGGGCAGGGTGATCGCTGTTCAGTGCTGACTGCTGGGTTTCTTTTCCTGCTCAGGAGACTGCAAATAAGGGCCTGAAGGCCAGCCAGTGGGTGCAGGAAGTGTCTGGCTTGATGGACGGAAAAGGCGGTGGAAAGGACATCTCTGCACAGGCAACAGGCAAGAATGTGGGCTGCCTGCAGGAAGCCCTGAAACTGGCCACGGACTTTGCCAGGCTCCGCCTGGGGGAGCTGAAGAACTGACTGAGGGGAGAACCCCGGTCCCTTTGTCTCCCTCCCTCCCTGTCCCCTGCGCGGCTTTGCTGTAATAAAGGCTCCCTGCCCCGCGCTCTGCTCCCCGGCTCTGCAGGCGGGGCGGGCTGGGCTGGGGTGGGATCCCGCTGCCAGTCACGGCTTGTGCCCGCCTCCCGCCCGGGCCCGCCCCGCCGCCGTCTCCCGGCGTGCCGCCGAACATGCCGCTGGATCACCGCCGCCTGCGCGGCCCCGAGGAGTCGCAGCCGCCGGCGCTGTGGGCAGCGGCCGCGGCCGAGGATGAGGAGGACGGGGAGGGCGCGGCGCCGCGGGACCCCTGTGCGCTCCGGCCGCTGTTCGCGCGGGCCGGGCTGCTGAGCCAGGCGCAGGGCTCGGCCTACGTGGAGCTGGGCAGCGGCACCAAGGTGCTCTGCGCCGCCTGGGGCCCGCGGGAGGCGGCCGAGCCCGGCCCGGGCCGGCTGCTCTGCGAGTTCCGCCGGGCGCCGTTCGCGGGGCGCGGGGCGCGGAGCCGGCCGGGCGCGGCGGCGGAGCGGGAGGCGGAGCGGGAGGCGGCGGCGGCGCTGCGGGAGGCGCTGGAGCCGGCGGTGCGGCTGGGCCGCTACCCGCGGGCCCGCCTGGCCGTCAGCGCGCTGCTGCTGCAGGACGGCGGCTCGGCGCTGGCCGCCGCCGTCAGCGCCGCCGCGCTGGCGCTGGCGGACGCGGGCGTGGAGATGTACGACCTGGCCGTGGGCTGCGCGCTGTGCCTGCCGGCCGCGCCCGCCGCCGCCTGGATGCTGCAGCCCGCCGAGCCCGAGGAGCGCCGCGCCGCCGCCCGCCTCACGCTGGCCCTGCTGCCCGCGCTCAACCAGGTGTCGGCCGTGCTGGGCGGCGGCCGGGGCGGCCCGCCCGAGGACTGGGCGCAGGCCCTGCGGCTCGGGCTCGATGGCTGCCACCGGCAGTACCCGGTGCTGCGGCAGAGCCTGCTGCGGGCCGCCCAGCGCCGCGACGCCGCCGCCGCCGCTGCCGCCACCAGTGCCTGAGTGCCCGTGAGACCTGCGTGCCCCGGTCTGCGGGTGGGCATCTCCCAGAGCCCGCCCAAGCTGCTTTCAGTGCTGCCGGGACGCCTGGTGCCTGCTTGATCCACACACCGCTGTTCGGGACTAAAATAAGTTACTTCTAGAATCTTAAAAGTTTGTTAAGTTTAGCTGTAACTGCTGGTGAAGCCCCATACCGAGCCTGATCCATGCCTCATGCTGCTGGAGACTGGACGAACCAACCTTTGCACTGCTGGAGACCCCTCGTGTTGCCCACACAGCTGGAGGCCCAAGGACATGAGACTCTGCTTCCCCCACACACTGCCCGAGCACCCCAGAGTGCAACTCGTGTTGCAGGAGACCATTCTCAACTGGTACCACAGGACCCAAACAGCCTTGCATGCTGCTGAAGCTCCCCAAGAACAACCTCCCTACTGCCTCAGCATCCAGAGCCTGTCCAAGGCCTCCCTCCAAGCAATTGCTGGCACTCGGGACCCCACATCTCCACCTGTGCTGGTCACAGCACCAGGCTGAAAGCCTCACTCCAGGCTCCCCACCATATCCATCTGTGCAGGCAGCACCAGACAGGAACCATATAATGGCATGGACTGCACAACCTTTGGACTTCTTGCCCAGGCACTGCTTCAGGTGGCAGAGTTGTGTTTTGTTCATTTTTTCGTAATAATAAATTGTATTTTTTCTGATGAGTCTTCTGCCCGCATGGCCTTCCTGAGGCCTCTGCTAGCCATGAGCAGAGATGGAAAGATGCACTTCTACAGTCGGGGTCAACCCCTCTGCTCCCACTGTCCTTGAGGAGTTCAGGGAGAGCTGGGTGCTTCCTTGGAATCTGATTATTCCTGGGGATGGAGTGGAGCAGGTGGTCTTGTCTGCCAAGCTGCGCCATGGTGTGCTGGTAGGGAATATTCTGGGTATTTTCCATTGGGATACAGGGCAGAGCTGCACTCGTACCTCTGGCTTGAGCTGTAGGAAAGGCAGCATCCGAGAAAGCCCTCAGAGCTGGGGGTTGTGTCTGGCAGCACATAAAATGGGGTACAAAACTGTGCACTTCAGATGCTTAAAAACTGCATTGGAGTCAAATAATCAGAGAAAAGAAATACAATTTTTTTTTTCCAATACAATACACTCTTTTACCAGAGCAAATTAGAAATACAGAACACAATTCTGCCAGTGAGAGAAGGGCAACTGAGAAATGAGGGACATGGAACTGAAACAGGACACTGGGGAGCACAGGGGTGACCAGGACTCTTTGGGTGTAGGCCAGGGTCACTTGTAAAGCTCTTACTAGAGTCCTGCTGGCTGCAGGTGCAATGCCTGGCTGAGAACTGCCTGTGGAAAACCAGTAAGGAAAACACATTTGGGAGCTGGGGCAAATGGGTAGGATGGGAGCAGCACAAGGCTGTTCCAGAAATGTAACAGCTCCAGCTCTCCCTTTCCTTGGGTGCCCCATCCCAAGGACCCAAAGCTGGGCTGCCTCCAATTAGGGTGGCAGAAAGCACCTCTGACAATGAAGGTAATTAACCTGCAGAGACATTTCCCACCACTGTGGTGAACCACCTTTGCTATCAATTCCTGCTGGGTGGTTGAGTTATTTTTCAGGGATATCCAGGCCAGCAGGATGCCTGTGAGTGCAGCTGGGTGCCAGGGATGGGGGAAGCCCTATGTCCAGCTGCTTCTTCTTCCTGTAGGCTGCTGAGACATGTGATGGTATGTGGGGTGGAGATGCCTCTGGGTGCACAGTGATGCCACATCACACCTCCCTGGCAGTGCTCTTCATCCCTTCTTTAGGATTTCACAGCCAACATCCATATAAAAGCCAGCTTGAATTTATTTTTTGCATATATATGTGAGAGGCACTGATGGTGGTTTGTGATTATCTCCACATATTTAATTTTGTATTTTTGTGATATTCTGAAACCTCTGTGGCCACTGGGGTGAGGAGACAGTTGAGGGCTCCCTCTTGCACACTCACCATTGGCCACAGTAAATGTGACCAGCTGTTCCATGGGTGACATTGTGGATGTTATTGCACCGGGGAAGCTTCTCAAGTCATCAGGGAACATACCAGCTCACCAGAGCAGTCTAGACCTCCCAGGAGCCTGGCCACTGGCCACAGGCCCTCAAGCCCCACAGGTGTCGGAGCAAGGTCCTGCTATCCATACAGAGAACAGGGTTTCTGAGCAAGATCCAAGCAGAAAGAAACTGGCACTGTTTGCTTTCCAGGCTGCCACCTTGTGTGGTGATCTCAAGGTGAGTTGGGGAAGGCGCTCAGTGTGCACCAGGGACCGCTGGCACCCATCATCTGTGGGGGCAGAGCATCCCTAGGGATGGCTGCTGCCACCGGGCACTGCCACCGCCGGCACCCCGGGCACCGGGCTCACCATCATCCCCCAGGGATCGCAAGCCTCACCCTCACCTTCCCTGGGCTCCTTCCAGCTCCACCCTCCTGCCTCACTTGCTGGATTCTGCCCTTGGGATCTCCAGTTTCACCCTCATCTTCCCTGGGCTCCTTTCCACCTCCGTCCTCCCTGCCCCCACCTGCTGGGCCCTGCCCTCCTGGGCTGGTTTCACCCTGGGTTTGCTTGGTTTGCCCAAGCCCAGCCCAGCGATGTGGATGGTGCCTTCCCTCGGCTGGGACGGTGCACAACCAACAGCCCATGAAACGCCCTGGATGGAGATATTTTCATTCCCACCCCAGCCCAGCACTGGATGGGGCTGTTATGACAGGGGAGGGGTGGTGGTATGTCACCTCCAAAAGCACCCATTGACACCCACCAGCGCTGGGGGCATGGGCTTGCATCCAGCACATGGGGTGCTGTGACCTGGGCCATCCTGGGGCTGGGAGAAGCAGCTCCTGGCTAACACCATCTCTCCAAGGCAGGCCCACATGCTGAAGACAAGTTCAGCCAAGGCTGGCCTTGTCTCCAACAACGCCAGAAGCCACTCCAGAGATGAAACTGGAGGTTCCATACAGTGCAGGCAGGATGTGATCTGTGGCTAAGGAGAGTCTGGCTGTCTTAGGGGAGGAAAAAGACAAATTGCTCTTCCCAAAGGAGAGAAGGTATTTATTAATGACCAGGCCAATGATGAAGGACCAGATGATGGTGAGAAACCCACCAGGCTGGGGCATTCTCACCCAGGTCAGGACAATGGCTCAGAGCTGAGCCTGGTCCTCCCTGAGCTATGCCAAAGTCTGCACCCCCAAAGAGCCCCCTTGGCCCCTCGTAACACTGAGACCACAGTCCAGACACAGCCCATCTGCCAGTTTTGGAGGAGATGCTTTTGTACTTGGGTGTTGCAAGGGACATCTGCCCAGGGTGTTGCAGAGTGATGGTGACAGAGGAAGGTGAGGGGCAGAAGAAGATGCTGTGTCAGGGATGCTAATGTACAGCACACCCCTTCTTGCCAGGTCCCAGTGCCATGGGTCTCCTCAGCCCCTCATTCCCTGCACAGGTGAGCTGTGCAGAGATCCTCCTGAGCCATGGTCCAGGCTTTGCACAGCACCAGGGTCCTCCTGAGCCCAGGTTCAGCACAGCAGCCAGCGCTGGCTGGTTCCAGGGCTGCCAGCTCAGGGATCCTGCTGCCACAGGGCGATGTGTTCCTGGGCTGCAATGGCGTGTGTAGAGTCAGTGCCTCCCAGCCCAGGAGAGACACAGAGGTCTGGGCAGGGCTGGCAACAAGGGACAGACAGCAGAGCAGGGGACTGGCACCTCCAGGGCCCAGCACGCCCAGGAAGGCACAGGAGGGCTCCCAGGCACTCACTCACCAAACTGGCAGATGTACCGGTTTCGGGTCTTGCAGCGCTGGTCGTTCCAGTTGAAGGCGGCTGATGCTTGCATCTCCACACAGTTCCCAAACCTGTGTCCCACCAGGATGGTGGTGAAGCCAGTCAGCAGTGACACCATGCAGAGTTTGGTGTCCTCTAGATCCACTTACCCTTGGTTGTCCGGCTGCCCAAAAGCAAAGCTGGTGAAGGAGGATGGCTCACCCACATCCCAGCGGAAGGAAGACTTGGATGTTTTGTAGGTGAGACCTGGGGGATCAGGACCTGGGTTGGCAGGTCTGCCAGCACCCCAGGCACTCTGCACCTGCCTACTGCTGTCTCTCACCGATCCAGAAGTTTCCAGTCTCAAAATCGGTGTCTGTCACCCTGTTACCCATCTCCAAGCGGCTGAGGTAGAAAGCCAGGATGTCCTGAACCTTCTGGTTTCTTATCTGGGCCAGCATCGCTCCTTTCTCCTGAGGGGAAGGGAGTGAGTCTGCCCCACCTGCGTGGCCCAGCAGTGCTCCAAGCAGAGGAGAGATGCCCAGAGGCACTGCAAGCATGGGTGGCACTTTTCAGGTGTCCAGAGATGCTTGGAGCACCCCAGGAGTTCACCTGGCATTTAATTTTGGCTCCATAGTAGGTGTCGGCTTCAGGGGACACCATGAAGCAGTCGCTGTCAATCCGCACGTCACAGGCATGGAATGGGAAATGGATCTTTGCTGGGGACACAGGCAGGAGCAGTTGGGTCCCAGCAGAGATGAGCCCCCCACCCCACTTTGAGGGTCCCCTGCCCGTGGATCACAGCAGTGCAGGGGGTCACGGACTCACTGCCGCACTCAGCTCCTCCGTAGCCCGCGTCGCAGAGGCAGGAGCACTCCTCCTTCCTGAACCTTCCGTGGAGGCACTGCCCGCTGCACCTCACTGTGGGCACAGCACTGCATTAGCTGTCAGGGGGCTTGGCAGTCCCTGCCCCCCTGTGCTGCCCACACTGCACCGCCTGTGCCCATGCAGCAGCCCTGCGCCTGCATGCCCTGCAGCAGCCATGCACGAGCCTCTGAAGGCTGCATGGGGCCCTCTCACCTTGGCAGTACCTGCCCGTGTAGCCGGGGGGACAGGAGCACTGGCAGCTGCTCATGTCGAGGCGCCCACTGTTCCTGCAGCTCATGCGACAGGGGTTCCTGGGCACCTCTGGGAACACCAGAGTGACAGCGGGGCATCAGGGGTGGAGGCAGCACCACCAGGGTCATGCAGAGGCCATGGTGACAGGGGGGACTCACCACAGAGCCCGCCGCTGTGGTCCCAGGACTTGAAGCAGCCAGAGAGGCCAGCGGTGCAGAGGGAGCACCAGGGTCCCTGCTTGTAGGGCAGGATGGGCGTCCCGGCCACCTCCCAGTTGCCCCTGGCCCCACAGGCAGCTGGAGGAAGATGCCCCACCCACCCGGGCAAGCCACACCCCTTTTGGGGCAGGCCACACCCCTTTTGGGGCAGGCCACACCCCTTTTGGGGCAGGCCACACCCCTTTTGGGGCAAGCCCAGCCCCACCCACATCCATGTCTAAATCACCGCCATGCCTTCGTCCCCCAGCCCCACTTCCAGCGCACGGTCCTGTCCACAGCACTCAGCCGCCCACTACAGCACACACCCCCGCCCAGAACATCCAAGCCCTCCCGTGTCTAAAACACGGCCCTATTTGCATTTACGAGCCACGCCCACATCACCCAGCTCCGCCCACTTCAATGCACAGCCCCACCCACCACCAGGACAAGCTCCCCATCCATAGCTCAACCTATGCTCCTACCTGGTTGAGACCACACCCAGACCGCTGAGCCCCTCCCGTTCGCACAAGCCCCACCCTTCTCATCCCCACCCACCACGCCTTTCTCAGCCACACCCACCACACCCTTCTCAGCCTCACCCACCATGCTCTTCTCAGCCCCACCACCACACCCCAGCCCCACCCGCAGCCCCTTACCCCGGCGAGTAGGCGCAGGCGAAGGCCTCGCTGGGGCCGTGGGGGCCGGGGCAGCGGTGCCGGCCGCAGCCCAGCTGCCCCGCTGTGGCCCACACCAGCTGTGGGAGAGCGTTTGTCACCGGGGTCCCGGTCCCCAGCAGCCCCCCCGTGTCCCTCATGCCCACCTGGGTGTAGTGGCGGCAGGTGGCATTGCCGGCGCAGCGCCCCGTCCTGTAGTCATAGCGCTGTCCCTCGGCAAACCAGAGCTCCAGCACGGCCCCGAAGCCGCCCGTGCCCGTGGGCAGCAGGACCTCGCTCCAGCCCAGCTGTGGGGCTGGCGGTGGAGCGGGGCCCTGCAGGCAGCTGGCTGCCCGTGCCCCCGCCTGCCGCCCCAGCTCCTCGCTCCACTCCTGCGGGGATGAGCGTGAGCCACCCAGGGAACAGCCCCAAGGGGTGCGGGGACCACCAAGATGGTCAGTCCAGGAGGTGACTGGGGGACATCAGAGGTTCGACAATGGGCGATGCTGCAAGGGACCCCTAGGGACCCGTCCTGCCCCTGGTGTGGGCGGCTGGGAGGTGATGGAGGGACATTGAGGGCCATCACAGTACATGGGAGACACTCCTATGTAGCAGCTGTGCCTTTGATGTTTTCAGGTGTGAGGTGGTCAGGGAATATCAAGGGTCATAACGGGGAATGGAGAACTCCACAAAGGGCTCCAAAGAACTACCCTTTCTGTGTCCTTGGATGATTAGGAAGCATCAAAGGAACATGGGGGACACCAAAAGGCACCTCAATGCATCAGCCCTGTTTTTGGTATGCCCTGGATGTGGCAGTGACATGCTCTTCCCCAGAGGCCCCACACCAGCCAGCTCTTCTGCTTCATTAGCATGTAAGCAAACTACTGTGTATCACCCATGGGCTGTCCACATCCCTGGGCATAGGGTGGAAGGTGGATGTGACATTGAAGGGGGGGCCACGGGACCTGCAAGGGGGCTCACCAGCTTCTGCATGTTGGCAGCAGGGGGCTGCACTTTGCTCCTCAACTTGTTGTGCAGTGAGAGCACCAGGAAGGTCTCCTTCGTGCTGAGAGCTGGGGGGGACAGCAGGAGATAGGGAGGGGGCCAGGGGGCCGAGAGCCACAAGTGCCCTCCCCGAATCCCCGGCTGTGGCCAGACCCTTCAGGGGGCCGTGGGAATTCCCCCTGAAGGGTCCGACTGCAGCCGGGGATACCGGGAAGGCACCCGGGTCTCCATGGAGACTTGAGGGGAGAGAAGAAAGCTTTTGGGCTGGGAGCACAAAAGGGGCAAGGGGCCGGGGGTGGGGGGGGGGGTGCAGCCTGCTGGGCCCCTGTCTCGCACGGGTGGGCTGAGGCTGCCAGGAATGTACCCCCTCTGCCCCCGCCTCTGTCCTGCCAGGATTCAGACCCCACTGGGCAAGACCTATCACCAGCTGCAGGACCCCCCAGCCTCATTCCATAACTAGCTCCATCCCATTCCCAGCCCCAGAGCCCCCTGGTTCCATTGCAACACCAGCCCCAGAGCCCCCCAACTTCATCCCATCACCAAGTCCATTCCCCTTCTCCCAGCCCCATTCCGTCCTCAGCCCCTATCACCCACCAAGCCCCCCACTGCCATCCCTGAGTGCCCATCACCCACCCAGTCCCCCACACATCTGGCCTGGCCCAAGGGGACGGTGCTCAGGGTGCACTCATCCCCCAAACCAGCTGCCTCCCAGCCCTGCTGCCGGAGAGGCAGCCCCTCCACCAGTTACCTCCCGGAGCCAGCAGGGACAACTTTCCTGGAGCATCCGACCTCGTCTCACCCACCCTCCACACCGGGAGGCTGCAAACCAGCAGGACCAAGAGCTTCATGTAGGTCCCGGGATGGGGGAAGCAGACCCCCAAGCTCCGGAGGGAGGACTGGGGAGAGCCGAGCCGCCCCGCAGCAGCCCTGGCTTTGGGGCGAGCTCGGCTCCTGCGTGCTTGCGTGTGTCTGGTTGCAGGATTTGATCCTATTCAGAGCTCCAGACAGGCACCGCTGGGCAGCGGGAACAAAAGCTTGACGGGTGAGTAATGGCTCTGTCAAAACAGTTGCTCGCTGGAGCGAATGTGGCAGACAAGTCCCGGGGCCCCGGGCTGCAGCCCCACCGGGATGTCCCGCAGCGGGGTCAGCCCTCCGTGCTCTGCCCCAGCCCCGTGCCCAGCCGGGGTCGGGCCGTGAGGGCAGCAGGAGCAGGGGTCGCAACCAGCACCCACTCTGGGACACTGGGACACTGGAAGCCAAGGGGCTGGGGCAGCAAGGGGGCCCCGCTGCCAGCCTTCCTCCTGCCCCATGAATTAAACATGCCGGGGAGGTAACACACACCGCTGCGGGCACCAAGCCAAATACCCGCTCCGGAGAGCTGGGCAGCGTGGTTACAGGGTGGGAGGATGTGAGAGCCGGGGGCCGGCGGAGGGAGAGATGCTGGGCCCAAGGGGGCCGGGTCTCAGTGGGCACCTGGAGTCAAGCAGGGGTCCCACAGGCCAGGCTGCTCAGGAGGCTCAACAGCACCACGAGAGCTCTGCCCCAGCACAGGGCTCACAGGACCCTGGTGCTTCCCTGGCACAGGGCAGAGGTGAGGGCTTCAGACATCCCTGCTCAGGATTCTGAAATGCCACAGGCAGGAGGGACTGGGAGCATCCCACACACCAGCTGCCAGGGCTGAGCTGCGTGTCAGCATAAACCCAGCTGTAAATGCTTCAGTTCCCTCAGCCTGAGTCTAAACTTGACTCTGGCCTGAACCCTGGCACTAATGCTAATGCTAACCCCAACTCTCATACAAACCCTCCTGCTAATATGGATCTGAACCCTTGGCACTGATCCTAGCAGTAACATTAACCCTAATAAAAAACTAACTTTAGCCCTAACAATTACTTTTATGTTAATCAAAACATTAATGCAAACTCCAAACCCAACACTAATCCTAACTCCAACTTTAATCCTAACTCCAACTCTAACCCGAACCCTGATCCTGACTCTAATATTAACCCTGACTCTTATGTTAATGTGGACCATAACACCAACTGTACCCCAGCTCCAGGCTGCAGCAGCACCCTGAGTTCAGGGATTCCCCTCTGAACTCCAGCCAGGGATGAGCTCACCCCAGCAAAGCTGTGCTGAGTCCAGTGAGTCTGCAGCATTCCTGGGTTACCCTTCCCAGTAGCCCCAGCCCCACCAGTGAGCAGAACTCCCACACAGACCTCAGAGTCATCTTTTCTCCCAGGAGACTTTCCCAGGCTTAGCTAGAGCACGGGATTAGCCTCATCCTGCATCTCTGCATGCCGGGGAGCCCCAGAGCCAGGACTGGCAGTGTGGTGAGCCCGGCACCGCCGGTACCACCGTAAGTGCCGTGACAGCCACTGCCTGGCCCCGATATCTGCTGGCCCTGGGACATGAAAGGCCCCAAAGCCTCTGATGTGCAGAGAGGGAAAGGAGCGGAAGGGAAGGGAAAGCAGAGGCTAGAGCTGGTGCCAAAGGGAAACTTTCCTACAGCTCGGCCTCAGGCAGGGGAAAAACCAACAAACACATGGGCACAGGCTGCAGATAAATCCCTGCGAGTGCAGGAACGCGGCTGTGAGCAGAAACGGACCGTCAGCGTCGTGCTCCTCTAGTCAGCCCCGGCGTGATGCTCCTCATCCCACTGCCAGCCTGGCTGGCCCTGGGCATCCTGCAGCTTCCCCATAGCAGTTCCCAGGTAAGGACCTGTGTTCCCTCCCCTCCAGCCCCCCAGCATACCCCCTCTCTGGGCTGCTCAACACCCACCTCTCACACCCCAGCACCCCAACGCCAGCCCGGAGTAGGGGTATGGCACAGCTACAGCACCTCTGGAGTTGCCAGGGCCAGGGGCATAGTCATGGGGCTTTTCCCCTGCAGCAGTGAAATTATGTTAAATGCACTCAGGGCATGCAGCTTCTCCACAGCATCCAAGTGCCAGAGCAGGATCAGGAAGTGGGGGCTGAGTCTGGAGCAGACAGGGAGCCAGTGTCAGACCCCAACCAGGATGGGAAGGGGCTCTGTCCAGGGCAGGATATCCAAACCAACCCTAAAGATGCTGGCTGCTTGGAAGGGTCCTCCCAGGCTGTGTCAGGGTGTCAGGGGAGCCCAGTGGATGATTGAGGTGTCTCCATGATCCCCCAGGAATGCCTGAGCCGGCAGCAGGCACTCAGCGTGGTGCAGCAGATGCAGAAGCTGCTGGTGGCACAGGAGGCCGCCCACCTGCAGGGCACCCGTGGGCTCCGGCACCAGCTTTCCATCCTCCAGAGCCACCTCCAGAGACCAGCCACCAAACACAACGGTAATCCTGGCTGGTCACCACCATGGTGACATCCCATGGGGTCAGTTCTGATCCCTGGCCCCGCACAAACAGCCTGGGCATGGGACCCCCAGCACCCTGTCAGGCTGGGGTTGGCTCCAGGCTGGCAGTGCCCATCCCCACCCATGTCTGTCTGTCCACAGAGATGTGTCCACAGCTGGCAGTGCCCCTGAATGGACGGCTGCTGGGCCGGAGCCTGCGGGTGGGCCACGAGGTTCACTTCATCTGCGACGCCGGCTTCCGGCTGGTGGGCTCGGAGACACGCGCCTGCCGGCACAACCGCACCTGGAGTGGCACCCAACCCTTCTGCAGAAGTGAAGTGGAGCAGGGTTGGGGTGCCATGAGCTCCGCCCTCCCCACGGGCCCCTCTGTCACCCTGAGCTGTGGGGTTCCATTGCTCTGCCCAGAGGCTGCAGCAATGGGCACCGGGGTTGGGCAAGGATGCCCTTCTCCAGCCGATGCTCACGAGCCTCTTCTCCCTAGGTATTGATGACTGCTCCAGCAACCCGTGTGCCAACAGTGGGACCTGCGTGGATGGCAACCAGAGCTACACGTGCCTCTGCCCCCCAGGCTGGTCAGGCCCCAGCTGCCAGAGCCCCATCTACTCCTGTAGGTACCTGGGTTTGGGCTGTGGAGGATGGGGATTCTCATGGGCACAGTACCCGGCCATGCTGCTCCTGTCTCCCCCTTCCCTGGCAGCCCCTGGTACCTTGGCCCCCACCATCTCCCCATGCCCCAGCAAGTGACACCTGCTGTCCCCTGCAGACTGGGTGACACTGAGCAACACCTCCTTCAGCCGCCAGCCCCGCTGTGCCGAGGGCCGCTCGGGCTCCCGGCGCTGCAGCTGTGACACCGGCTTCCAGCTGCAGCCTGGTGGCGTGTGCCAAGGTAAAAGGGGGGTGAAGATGAGGAGATGATGGAGGGTGGGGAACCAAGGCTTGGTGACAATGGGACCTCGGGCCATTCCTCTCTTTGTCCACCCTAGATGTGGATGAATGCCAGCTCTACCAGTCCAGCCCCCAGACACAGATTTGCCTCCATGACTGTCTCAACCTCCCTGGCTCCTACCGCTGCCTCTGCCCCCCTGGATACCTGCTCCATGCTGACCGCAATGCCTGTGAGGGTAAGAACCCAGGGTGCAGGGCAGGGAGCTCCCACGGGAAGAGGGGTGCAGTGGGGACAGCCCCACTCACCCCATGTCATCACCACAGACGTGAATGAGTGCGCTGGGAAGCAGCACAACTGCAGCCAGGGTGAGCTCTGCATCAACACCTTCGGGGGCCACCACTGTGTACGCCCCAAGTGCCCCCCTCCACGCCACAACACCAGCTATGTCAAGACCTCTGCCTTGTGAGTACCCTACTGCACATGGCTCAGCCGTGTCATACCCTGTCCCAGGGTGATGGGTCCTGTTGTGGGCTGGGGGCTGTATTGTGTCACCCAGGGGCAGTAGGGAGAGTACCAGCCAGCACTGGTAGCAAATTGCCACATGGGGTGCTCAGGTGTGCTTGGCATGCTCCCTGATGGTCTTGGGATGCTGGGAGCGCAGGTGGGAGCACCCCAATATGTGGTGGCTTTATCCAGGATCCTGGCCCCTCTCAGAGCCCCAGCCTGAGGGGAATTATGCTGATTTTCCTCTGCTGCACATCCATGGGGAATGATGCTGATTTTCCTCAGCTGCCTTTCAGCAGTCCCAGCCAGCCCACTCTTGAGATTAAACTGCTTTGTGCCACCCAAATAGAGGAGCATCCCCGATCTTGACAGATTCTACTTCAGGAGCCACATCTGGCCCCATCCCTGACCTTCAGCTGGGACTGTGGCACCCACCCAGTCCCAGCCTCAGAGCTGGGTCCCTGCAAGCTATGGCATTTTCCTGTCAGAAACAGGGATGAGGCAGAGATCCAATGATGGGCATACTTGGATGTGGCCGACAGCAGGGTTGGAGATGCTGCCTGTGGCACGGGCCAGGCTTGTGTGCAAGGATGAGGGCAGCTCCCTGAGAGCCAAACCACAGCCCTGAGCGGTGACACCCTTCTCTCCTGGCAGCCAGTGCGAGAGGAACCCCTGCCCCATGGACAGCCGAGCCTGCCACCTGGCTGCCAGCTCCATCTCCTTCCACTACCTGCCGCTCCAGGCCAACCGCACGGTGCCCCGAGTCCTCTTCAAGATGTCCACCACGCGCTTCGTGGGGGACAGCCTGCGCTTCGCTATCACGGGTGGACGCGGCCAGGGCGTCTTTGCCGTGCGGCGCTCGGACCGGCAGACGGGAGAGCTGCTGCTCACCAGCCCTGTGGTGGGGCCAGCCACGCTGGAGGTGGAGCTGGAGATGAGCGAGTTCTCCCACAAAGTCCTCCTGGGCAAGCACATCTTCAAGGTCACAGCCTTTGTGTCCCCATATGTGTTTTGATTCCCTTTGGAGGCAGGTGTGGGGCCATGCCAGGGCCTCTCCTGGGGAGGAATGGAGCAGGTTCAGCTCAGTGGTCCCAGTTTTTGTCCTGTTGGAGATATCCCTCTGCCAGAATGCTTTCCCATAGCCATCACAGCAAAAACTGTGTCCCTATAGGAAAAAAACCCATGGCCAATGGAAGGACTGGCCTGCCTCTGCCAGACCCATTCCTCTCTGTCCACATGGCACACAGAGGGGAAAGACAGAGGGAGCCAACAGCATTTGGCATGCAGATTCAGCTTCTTGTATCTTGTAATATCTAATAAAAGTGGCTGTAGGAAGGGTGTCCTCCTTGCTCTATGTTTTGTCCTTCTGGGGCAAGGCTCCTGGGGATAGCTGGTGGCTGTGCACCTTGCGGAGCTTGGGGTGAGCTACCAATAGAGCTACCAAGCCCATCCAGGGTCCTGCAGTGTCCATGCCCCTCCCAGCACTGCTGGGATCCTGGGGCCACTCTGAAGAGTCCCCCAGCATAAAAATGGGAGATGGGCTGAACAGAGAATCAGAACGCTTTGGGTTGGAAGGGATCATCTTGTGCCAACTGCTGCCATGGGCAGGCACAGCTTCCAACACACTGCCCTGAACATCCTGCACAGCTGAGACTGTCCTCAGCCACCTTGGCAGTGCCTGGGAAGCACAGCAGGGCTCCCTGGCACTGGTGAGCAGGGACAGTGAGAGGGGCTGCGCATCCTTGTGTGTCCGAGTCTCCCCTCTGCAGCAGCTCTGACATGAGCTGCTCAAAACTGCAGCTCCCCAGCTGGCCCAGCGCTTGAGCTGTCCCCCTGCACCCGTCTGGAGGAGGGTGGGCTGTGAGAACAAGCGGGGTGCAGCGCCGCACACCCCTCGGGCGCCCCTGTCACCAGCCAGAGCCCTGTGCAGGGAGAGCAGCTGGGGGTGAAAAGGTGACGAGGGCCTTTGGGGACAGCGAGCGGAGCACACGCCGGCCCCGGCCGCCCCTCGCTGCGCACACAGAACCCTTCTGAGTGTCCGGCCAGAGCCCCGGCACAAAGCAGCTGCTGTGCGCACACGGGCGGCCATAAAGAGCTCCTTGTGCCCTGCCGCCGGCCCCGGGCCGGGCTCGCTCGGCCGGAGCTGGAAAAGCCTGCCCAGGCCAGCAGAGGCACGGGCCGGGCCGGGCCGGGCCGGGGCTGCGTCACCAAAACCCGCAGCTGGCCAGGGCCCACTGCGGCGGCGGGCTGGGATGAAAAGCCGGGAATGACGGGGTAAATATTTATCCCTGCACACGAGGTGTCCCAGCCAAAACGCACACCACAAAACGGGGTTTGAGCAGGTTTTCTTCTACTCTCGGAACCTGCAGGTACAACTGGACTAGTCACTAACACCCACATCACTGACTGCTAATGGCAGCAAAAGTTTGCAAAGGTCACTGCAAGAAGGACATGGAGGTGTTGTAGCGAGCCCAGAGAAGGGCAGTGGAGCTGGGGAAGGTCTGGAGCACAAGTCTGGTGAGGAGCTGATGACGGAGCTGGGAGGGCTCAGCCTGGAGAAAAGGAGGCTCAGGGAGGACCTTATAACTCAATAACTCCCTCACAGCGGGGTGAGCCAGGGGGGATCGTGTTCTTCTCCAAGGTAACAAATGATAGGACAAGAGGAAATGTCCTCAAGTTGTGTCAGTAGAGGTTTAAATTGGATAATAGCAAAAATTTCTTCATGGAAAGAGTGGCCAGGTGCTGAGACAGGCTGCCCAGGCAGTGGTGAAATCATCATCCCTGGAACTGCTCATAAGGTGTGTGGATGTGGTACCTGGGGACAGGGTCTAGTGGTGAACACAGCAGTGCTGGGTTAGTAGCTGGACTCGGTGATCTTTAGAGATCTTTTCCAACCTTACTGCTTCTATGATTCTGTTTTCCCAGTGTTCTTGCTGCTTGTCTGGGGGTGCACTGAAATGAAATGTTTGCAGCACCAAACCTGCAAGACTTCAGGAAGCATTTGGACAATGCTCTCAGACACGTGTTGTGATTTTTGAGGTAGTCTTGGGCAGGGTAAGGAATTGGACTTGATGTTCCTTGTGAATCCTTCCAACTCAGGATAATCCATGATCCCATGATCCAAGCATCCCCAGAATCCATCTTGCTGGAATTGCTGATGACAGACAATGCTAGGAGGGTCTCAAATCCATCAAATGCTATGTTATCTTGGTTGCTATGGGGGTATCCTTAATCCTTCACTGATAAATCCTTAGTTCTGTGTCCTTTACTTTGTTTTACTTAAGCACAAACCACTGCAATGCCTCCAGTAAAATTCCAAAGTCCCCAGTAAAATCCTGCAACCTCATTATGTCATGGTGTAAATCTGAATACATATACATAAATATAGATATAGATATA